TACCAAAACCTTGCCACATAAAACCAATACAGTACATGGCACAGTGCACATGAGTGTTCCTGTAGGGATTTCCCAAATAGCCAGTCACAAGCCTTGGCAAGCAGCAGCTTAGTGGTAGATGTTCTGGGGCACGTGTTTGTTCTGGGAAAGGCAGGCTGGAGAAACGGGCTGACGGGAACCTGGTGAAGTTCAACAAGAAGAAGGTCAAAGACCTGCAGCTGGGGAGGAACAGCCCCATGCACCAGTACCTGCTGGGGGTGACCCAGCTGGAAAGAAGCTTTGCAGAAAAGGTCCTGAGGGTCCTGGTGGGCACCAAGTTGAACATGAGCCAGCGATGTGCCCTTGCTGCAAAGGAGGTGGATGGTATTCTGGGCTGCATTAGACAGAGTAGTGCCAGCAGGTCGAGGGACGTGATCCTTCCCCTCTACTCAGCACTGGGGAGGCCACACCTGGAGTGCTGGGTCCAGTTCTGGGCTCCTCAGTACGAAAGAGACATGGACATACTGGAGAGTCCAATGAAGGGCCACAAAGATGATGAAAGGATGGGAGCATCTCTCCTATGAGGAGAGGCTGAGACAGCTGGGACGGTTTATTCTAGAGAAGAGAATGCTGAGGGGAGACCTTATTAATTTATATATAATATATATTTATATAATGCACCTGAAGGGAGGGCACAAAGAGGACAGAGCCAGGCTCTTGTTTCCAAAAATAAAACTGCTGATTCCCCCCAGCAATTTTATTTTCAAATAATTGAAATTTTCCTTGCATCACCTGGTTGAAAGAAGCAGCTTAATGCAGTTTTGAGCAATCCAGTTGCAACGCAACAGCAGATTCCTCACACTGCCATTTACAGAATGCCTTCAACTGCATATCACTGGTATGTGGGGCTTGACATTCATAGAGGATGTAACACATGAAGGTATCGGGGCAGATGAAGACGAAAACACAGCTCTTAGCATACTCAACTAAGTGGATGTCTGCTGAAACTCATATGGAGTTCACTGAGCTGAGGGGCTTAAGATGGGAATGTTCCCAGCAAGGGTAGGTCTGATTTTCAATAACCATGCCTGCAACAGTCAGACCTGGGGAAACTGTGAAAAAACCCACCATATTTTAAGCAGTCTACTAGGAGCTAAAAACTTTGAGATTTCATCTCAGATTGTCTGGGTTACTTTGGGTGAGTCATTTTGTCTGTGCCAGAGTCCATTCAACCATCAAGAGACGATGCTGTCCCTGACTCCTAGGAAGTTGCCAGGCCCTACAGAAATAATGCTGGAGACTTTGCCTGTTTTGTCAAAGTAGTGGTAGCAGCTACAGAAGGAAACCTAGCAGTTACTTTACCAGAGAACCCCAGTGAAGAAACAGCTTCTCATGTTATCGTGATGTGTGTAGGTGAGGTGAGCACGTCTCCGAGCTTGCCTAGTTTACCTCGTGAATAGCGCAACATCTTTGCCTCCCCTAGGATTTTACAGTGCAGTGCATACTAGACTATTTTACCTTTTAGCTCTTCAAACATGGCCTCTCAGTCTCATCCCAAAGAGATACTCAGGAAATGTAAAATAAATAAATACATTAGGTTGCCTCGAAAGTTGACCATTCTTCAAAGGGAAAGGATTTTCAGCTGCGAATTTTACTTTCAACAGTGCACATGGCACCTCTGTGCGTTCAAATTTTTACAATACTAAAGGGATTTGAAGCAAATATATTCATTTCCATGAAAAGCAGTGGAACAAATCTCTTTGGCAGAGCTTTTAATCTTCTGTCTAGAGCATGTTGATACAGCTGATCGATATACACTAAGTTTCTTGGAAGTTCTTTTTGGATGAACTCTTGTAAGCAGCGATGAATGAATACTGGAGGAGCATGGCTTGCAGATCAAGGTAAGTTACAATCCTCATTCTCTATGGCATTTCTGAGGCTGCACTTAGACAGCGTTTGGTCTGCTGACCCCCAGTTCAAGAGGAACATGGAGAAACTGGAGAGGGTCCAAGGGAGGACTACCAAACTCATCAGAGTATGGAGCCCTTACCCGTAGGGAGTGACAGGGGGAGCTGGGCTTGTTTAGTCTGACCAAGAGGAGGTTGGGGTGATTAAATAACTGCCTACAAATACTTGAAAGGCAGTTGTAAGGATGTTGGAACATGACCTTTCTTGGTAGGAGCAGAAGATACAACATGGGGCAATGGCTGCAACTGCAGGTTGCGGAGTTCCAACTGGACATGAGGAAAAATGCCTTCACCAGAAATTAGTGCAAGTTTGGAAGTTTTCAAGATTTGACTTGACAAAGTCACAGCTGACAGCATTGGCAGCAGTCCTGCTTTAAGTGAAAGGATGGACTAGATAAATTCTAGAGCTCCCTTCTAACCGGCACTTCTGTGATGCTGTCAATGAATGCAGTGGGATTCTTCATTCAGATACAGGATGCTTAATGCTCTTTTTGCACAACTGGGGCACCTGTCCCTTTGAGCTATGCCAAATGACAGGAATTCAGATTCACTGAGAGAAATCCAGGAAAGATAATACTGAAACACACTCTCCTCATGGATAGGCTGATACCTTGCAGGAGTTTTCCTGCGGAGCTTAGAGTTAACCACTTAAAATCTAGCCAAAATGATCTAGAAAGCCTGTTGGCCTTCTCAGCTCTACTCACAGCAGGTGGAAATGGCAGGAGAGAGAGGGAAAACTCATTGCCACTGCCTTGTCTGCGCCACCACCTACGAGCTGAATCACATGGGCCGTGCAGAGACCCTTGAAATTAGTCTGCTGGGGCCCAAGTTGCTATTGGGAATGGAGTGGAGGCCAAGCAGCTTGAGGGCAGATTTTAGAAGTCAGTTCGGTATCTGTGCATGTTCATTGGTACCTCCTGGGATTCTCAAGCTTTTAAAATCTTGCCCCCTTCAATTGACTGAAAACATTTCTCTTCAGTTTTTGGCTACACAGCACATTTTTGACCAAGGTCCTAATGATTGGGAGCTGGCTTGTGAGCGGTGTGAACTGGTTGGCTATTTGTCAGAAAGGGTAGCCCTACCTTCCTCTGCTGTGTGCAGTTCTTCCCTGTAAGGTTTGTGTTCAATCAGTCCAGCTCCCAACCTGTTCAAACCGATGTAAAGTGTCATCTTCAAAAAGGCTTTGACCACCCCACACACAAATCCTCTTCTCTGCGGATGAGGCAGATCTTCCTGGGTTACATTTATTTTGGGCAGGCAGAGCAACCATTAGGCATCAGATGGAGAAGGCAGAGCACAAACCTGGGCTGTCTTTTGTGCAGTCCCCAAGGAAATTGGACATGCACTCCCAGCCTCTCGCTTTCCCATGCAGGTCACTGCAGGGCAGAATGAGGTCTGCAATGAAGGTTTGTTATCTCACGGCACTTGGATTTCTTAACTCTGAAGTTCCTGAGCTTACAAAACTTCTGATGATGATAGTGGGAGAGGGGAAGGACAGACAGATAATCATTTCATCCTGCACCCTTTTTAATCCAGAAATTATGCTTTACATCCTCTAACATAGATCTCCTTTCTTTGGAGTTCGGGTTAGGACTATAAGAAAGACAGGTATTCTACTGCCACTTGCAAAGGTAATAATTACCAGAGCTATTGATCCTCCTGCTGCAGACCAAGGCAACTATGGTAAAGACAATGGTCAAAAAGAAATTTCCCTCCGTGATGCAACATCGCCCATCACAGTGCATTACATGGATTTTCACATAACAAAACCAGTAAGGACTCCATCAAACAGCAATAACTGGATCTAGATGTGCCAATAACTTGACCTGGAACTAAAACCAGTACAGGGAAAGCAAGACCGAGGCCATGTCTGTTCTGTTGTGTGAGGGCAGCTGCTGCTCTGGGGAACTGGTTAATGTGTTACACGCTGTTAATGGGTTGAACTTTTGGCAGCTTCCCATCATGTCACTGTCCCTCTTTCTGTCAGGGTGAAGGCCAGATTATCTTAGATGACTTGATTGTCCAGGCACTCTCTGGCCCCTTTTCCTGGCATTAGCCCTGGTGGGACAGGGAATGGAGACCATGGGGGCGCAGGGTGGGTGAAGGGGGAACGTTTTCAGAGTTTGCATTCCCTGTTTTCAGATCCCGCCTGTAAGCGGGGGTGAGGCTTGCCCGCTCTGGTTTCCCAAATGCCAGCTCAATCTCCTGCCCCCAGTTTGAAGGAAACCAGACCACTCCTGCTCCTCCAGCCGCCGCCGTGACCAGCGCCGCGGCCAGCTCCGTACAGGGACCCCTGCCAGAAACGGAGGCCTTCCCCTTACCCTCCGCTGTTAGCCCTCCTTTTCTTTAGCCACTACCTTTCCTCTTCCGTTGCCTGCTGCCCTGCCACAAAAAAAAGAGACGGCTCCAGCCTGCTGGGCACCCTCCCCTCCCTCTCCCCCCCAGCGCCTGGCCTTCTGCCCGGACTCAGAGCTGCTAGTTCAGCTCCTCCGCACCGCCTCTCCCCATTTCCAGATGGGCCCTGGCCTCCAGCCCTTATCTCCTCCAGCCCCTAGGCTGTTTGCAGAAGAGAGTATAAAGGCTTGGCTCAGAGAGCAGAGGGGGAGTACGAGCAGCACCGGACCAGGCTGGGTGTCTGCTGGACTCACCACGACCTGCTGCCCTGCTCCGCACCATGGGGAAGGACGGGCTGCTCATCAAACCCAGCGTCTTCCTCCTGCTCCTCTTCTTCCTTCCTGGACACAGCTCGCCTGCCACAGAGCCGTAAGCTGCGCAGGGGGGTCTCTGGGCAGGCAGGAGACCTGGGTCGTATTTCTGTCTGTCGCTTCGTCTCTCATCTTTTGCCTACTTTCTTTTACTCAGGAATAAAGACCAGGGCTTTATTTTACCAGGGCTGGGTAAAGCATCTTCTACAAACAGCAGCTGTAGTGCTTCAGGGGGACCCAAAACAGTCTGTGAAACTGAGATATCAGTAAAACTTCAGGAAAAAAAAAAAAAGAAAAAAGAGGGAGAGGTCTATGAGAATACCTTTTGCTGCTTCAGTGAATTGACAGGATTTCAACAAAATTTTCTGCACAGAATTGGTTCTTTTGAAAGGCAACTTTTTATAACTGTTTACACATTCAGTTTTCCTTAAGAGATAGGCTTTTTTGAAAAGACAGTGAAAAATTTCATTTTGGGTTGGCTACCCTACTCCCAGGCTGAAATGCCCAGGGGATGGGAGTGGTTTTTTGATTGATAATGGGAAAAAAAGGAACAAATAACAGATCTGGCATAACCAGAAATGGCTTTATTTTTTAACTCACATTTTTCAGCTCAGCCAATGGAATGAAAATTCCCTTCTCACCCAAGGTTAGATGGCACTGTTAGACTGTGACTGTTAAGGTCTGTGAGGGTATATTGTGCTGCATCCTTTCTTCACCCCCTTTTGCCCTGTTTGTATGTGAAGGGAGTGCGTGTTTTGTGCATGTGCGTCGTACTTGTATGGCAGGAGCAGCGCACGAGGGGTCCTGACATCCCAGAGGCTTTCTCCTTTGGCTTTTTGGCAATGTCTTTTCCTCCGCAGCAAAGCAAGGCTGTGCTGCAGCGCTTTCGTCAAATGCAGACAGCAGGGCTGGGACCTGAGGGGCCAGAGCTTTCTCCCCGTAGACCAACTGATGGACGTCAAGGTGTGAGAGCCGCCCATACCGCTAAAGCGAATGCCCTACCTTACTGCTGAGGTGTCGAGGGCTCTTCTCCCAGATGCTCGCTGCTCTGGGGATGCTTGTCAGAGGCCAGTCCTCGCCCACCCAAAAGGAAGCCCTGTTGCCATTAGAGGGGTCAGGTTTGATTCCCAGATGCAGTGCTGGGCACCGGGACACCACCGGCATGTTGCTCCCCTGGGAGGGAGGTTGCGTAGGGTTGAGCAGGGACCCCCTGCTCCGGCTGAGACAAGAGGGGCTTGCTTCCCTGAAAACCTGAAATTTTCTCCAGTGTTTTTGCTGAAGATGTGGCACCACGCTGTGGCAGTTTTGGGTCTCTGCGAGGAATGAGAGTTAGTGCTACAGACGGTTGGCAGCGTGTGGTCAGTGGCGTTTATTCACTAGGTACCGGCACTTGTGCAGCTCCTGAATCCCACTAACAGTGTCCAGCAAAGGTGACAATTAATTGACTTGTCCCCACTGGCATTATTCAGGGTCCCAGGAGGAAGCACTGCTGTTGTGCCAGAACCTGGAAAAACATATCCCTTCCAGACATCCGCACTGAGGATTTCCTGTGGTTATTTTACTTCTGAGACTGGCCTCTCTGCTTTCCCCTGCTGTTACAGACATGCTGGAAATCTTGTTACACTCCTAGAAAATGCACCTCTCCCCCTGTGCAGTGAAGGCTGTAGTCATCAGATTGGTTTATTTGTTCTTTCTGTACAGCTCCTGTTACCTGTTCCTCTGACCTGTCCTTCTCCCCTCTTCCTAGGCAGTATATGGTGCTACTGCCCTTTCTGATACACACCGATTCTCCTGAGAAAGTCTGTGTTCAACTGACCCACCTGAATGAGTCTGTGACGCTGAGTGCCACACTCGAGTATCAAGGTGAAAACAGGAGCTTGATTGATGACGTGGTGTCAGAGACGGACTTGTTCACCTGCATCCCTTTCTCGGTGAGTATCTCATCCTTGTGGGCTGATCCCTTGTGCCAGGGATAAACTGTAAGGGCACTGTAATGCCAGAGTAACACTGTGTAGGTATTCACATCCCTCTTGGCCAAAGGTATGTTCACGTCCATCCTCAACACCCTTTCACTGCTGAGATCTCCTTAGTGTGCTATCTGAATGGGAAACGCTGAACCCTGGAAAGCCAGCCCCTCTCTAGGACAGAAGGACAAGAGGCCAGGAGAAAGAAGTGATTTTAGTATTGATGCTCCTGATGGCTGTTTGGTGAACAGCTTCTTCAAATGGCTCTTCACATCATCCTTCAACAGCCACAGATTGTCACTTGAGTGCCTTCAAATTGGGGTAGAGCTTTTGAACCTCAGATACTTTTTGACTTGTGGATATGGTACACTGAATTAATGTAAGACCATAGAGCTGTGATTGCCTGTGACTGAAAAAGAGAGTGAGGCAGGAAATTTGTACCTTAATGTAGTTGATAGCCCCAGAGACTATAGCAAATTGTGGGCAGCTAGGGAAGTTGGTCATCTGGCTCAGAGCACAGATTACGTCTTTGGCCTGAAGGCTGAAGAACGGGCCTTCAGGACACGGAACAGGTTGGCATCCGTGTCTGGCTTTGTCAGATATAGGCTGAAGACTGAGTTTTGTCACTTGGAGAGAGATCTGGTGTGTCTGGTTTGGAAAAGGAAATGTTCTGCAAGGACTAGGGACATTATCTGAAAGAGAAGGGGAATTATTCCATTGCCCCTGTGAATGTCAAAAGGAAAAGAACAGAAAAGTTTTGGTCAGGGCAGTAAGAATTTCTTGAAATTGGGTGGCAGAGGTGGGAGTGCCTTTGCTGCACAATACTTGGACAGCAGTAGGAATATAGGGCAAGTGAAGACCAGTCTCTTGTTCCTGATTATAGTTCTCCTCACCTCTGTGTTGGGTCCATCAGGATTATATTAACTCTCTTATTTCCTAAAGGCCAGTTCAGTTCTGGAAGCGTTTAAAGGTGGTCCATAACATAGTTGCTTTCTTACTCTCCAGCTTCCAAAATCAAATAGCCCGTCACCAGTCACATTTATCACTGTGACAGTGAAGGGGGCAACACTGCAGTTCAGGAGCCGCAAGTCGGTGCTGGTCAAGAATTCTGAGAGCTTGGTCTTCGTCCAGACAGACAAACCCATCTACAAGCCTGGACAGACAGGTACTTGGGAAGGGGTGGAGATTTGCTTTTGAAGAAAAAATTCATACTAAAACTGTTGTTTTCTCTGGATACTAAAACTGTGCCGGCCAGATGTTGATTGCTTTCAGTGGGGGTCAGAACTGCAATCTCGTGGCTGAGGCTTATGTTTTTAATGCTCCATTTAGGAACAATTTGGGGAAACTTAGATACATGCATCTATCATCTGGAGCACCTGCACACACTCCCTCTGTCACTGGGGGCTCTATTGTTGTGGTCCGTGCAGTTAGGGTCCACATTAGAATCAGAGAAAGACTGGATATTTGTCCTACAGAGAACAGGGCCAAAATTCAGACTGTGTCACAAAATAGCTTTTAAAGCTGCAGCTGATTTTGCTCAGTGAAGACAGAGAGAACTATATAAGCCATTTATTTCTTCTGGGTCATTGATCTCCTAAATTTGGCCTGGACAGAAATGAATGTCCTAAAAGAGACACTGAATTCTCTATCCATCCAGAGCCAACACAAACTTGCAGCCAAGTGCTGAAATAATTTGCTTGTATTCATCCTTCCTAAGAAGTCAGTCTAGTTATAACAAAATTAGAAGACCCATGTGAATTCCCATGTAAAAATATACCCTTGCAAAGTAAACAAAGGCAACTTAGATTTAACTTTGGTCCTGATTAATGAGATTCTGATGCCCATGATCAGTAAGGTGTTCAGACTGCCATGGATTTGCTCTTAACATCCTCTTATTCATGTAATTTCTTACATGGGTAAGCTTCTAGCATGACTTAGCTTTCTAGTGAATGGAATTTCTTTAGAAGAGAACAGCTCCGTTCTCTGTTGTACCATTTGTTTTTGCAACTGATGTTTTCTGGTTGGTGACTGCACTGTGGAACCTCACTGTCTGCCTTTCTCCATCAGTCCTGTTCAGAATTGTTTCTCTGGATACAGACTTCCGTCCCCTGAATGAAGTGGTAAGTATGATGCTTCCTTTTCACTAGTTACTTGGCCTTAAGTCATCTGTGTGGGGAAAGGGAGGAAAGAAGTGTCTTTTGGGGAGAGCTCTCAGTACACTGAGGTAGTTGTGCAATTCCTGTCTTACCTCAGGTCTTGTTAACAGGGTCTGTGCTTCAAATTTCTGCATAAGGCTGCCTTCTGCATTCTTGGAAAAGTTTGACAAACTGCAAATGAACCATGCTGGTGTAAGCACCTCAGCAGTGGGCAAATCTACCATTATCACAGAGTGCACCTGCTCTTATTAGTATTGCAGATCATCCAGAGTTAGTGATTTCAGCTGACTTTTCTGCCTGAGACAAAGGATTGCCCTCCCCCTTGATGTACCTCAAAATACTCTGTTGCTCCGTACCAGGAACTTTTTTCCTTATCCCATTGGGTGCTCAGCTTGTTCCCTGAAACATGGTCATAGCCCTGGTCATTTGAGCGTGTTGCTTGCACTCTGTCTAAATATGCTGTTTCCTTTCTTCTTTTTCTAGTTTCCGCTGGTGTATATGGAGGTATGTACAAGCATTCAATTCATGTTCACATCTATTGCACCTCACCCTGGGCAGAATAACTACCAGTTGCCTCAAGATGATTCTTGTCTATTTTATGTATTAAGCAGGTCCATTACATTAATTTGAATATACAGAGCTTTAACTCATATGGTGGCAACCATGTACTCTGGGCCAAGGTTACAGCTCCTTCTGTTGTCCAGCCCTGGGCTCCCCACACAACCCTGCTAGTGCCCCCCACTCCTGTCCTGCAGCCTTCTGAAACACTGGGGCTGGGCTTCCCCTCACTGCTTTTGATTTTTAGCTCTTGTTGCAGGGTCCCACTGTTCTCACAATCTCCTTGTGGTCACATTCTCTGTAGGACCCAAAGAAAAACCGTGTGTACCAGTGGACAAAGGTAGAGTTAGAGAAGGGGTTAATCCAGCTGTTCTTCAACCTCACCTCCGAACCTATGCAAGGGACCTACACAGTGGTGGCACAGAAGGCCTCTGGGAAGACAATTCGGCATCCTTTCTCTGTGGAGGAATATGGTAACTGTCGCTGCAGTTTCAAGATCCTAACAGCTAGTTCTGTGAGGCATGAAAGCTTAATTGAACAGGGTGGTAGATCTGACCAGGATGTCCCACACGGCTGGAAAAACAGCTCTGTGTCCTCTCCCTCCCAAGCATCATCCCTTTCTGAGGAGTGAAGACTGAAGGACTTGAGCCACCCATCTCCACTCCTCCCTAAGCCCCAGGCCATGCAGTGCAGCTCTTCTGACTGCCCCTCTCAGCAATGCTCCCATCAGGGCAGCAATGTGCTTGGATTAGTCTGTGCTGGCAACCACAAGCCTCACCTCCTTTCAGAGGTGAATTTAAGGCCACAGCCTCATCTCCAGTTGGCTACTGTCAAGTGTCATGCTATGGGTCTGGCTCTCCCTTGCCTAAGGCCCAAAGACCTTTTGGTGTAGGCTGGGGCTGTCTGTAAATTCAGACCTTGCCCTTCCTCCCCCACAAGCTAAGCCTGCAGCTCGCATGACGCCTTAGTGCCTTAACCTCTCTCTGGTGCTCTCACCACTATGCCAGTTCCATCTGCTTGGCTAGAAAATGGTATCCCAATACACACCAGCACAAGGTCGCAACCAACATAGGTTCCCACCCCAGCAAGCCAGCTGTAGCCCTTGTTATATGGTCTGACATGATCTGGCTCATGCAGCAGAGATGAGTCCTGAAAGATGAGTCTGGAAGTCCTTTGACTTTTTTCAATTGCAAGACTGTTCCTATGCCCTGAATCCCTCCTAGCTCTCCCAAGACAGTCACCGACCACTTCCCCTCCTGCAGCTGGGTTTGGATGTGATGTCACCCTCTGCTAAGTCACCGGGGAAGCTATGGGGTCTTCCTATTTTGCAAATTGGTGAGGTCTACATGCTTTGGAAATGCAGAGACCAGGCTGCAGTCCCAGTTCTGCATGTTTGTGGGAGACCTGTATTGAGTTAACTCTCTATTTTACTGTATCCTACTGCTGTGGGACTGATATCCCATGTGTTATCTAAGAAGCTGCTGTATTTTAATAGCTGGTGTAATAATCTCGTCTTACCTGGCACAGTTGTTGGCTGAGTGCCTGTGGTTTTCACTGACTTCAGTGGGATGTGCAGGTGACAGAAGCCTCTAAAATCTGACCATTTAGGTGTAAAAGGGTTTCAGGTCATTTGTAAGAATAGTCTTTGAGCAGCCTTCATGTCTCATTCTTATGTTATTCCCCACCACATACACTGTTTTGCTTTGGTTTTGCTGCAGTGCTGCCAAAATTCGAAGTAACAGTGAAAATGCCCAAGGTGATCACCATTCTTGATGAGAAGCTGAAGGTGACAGTTTGTGGTCTGTGAGTGCCATTCTTTCAAGTCCTTCTTGGTTTCAGGTCTGTCTTCAGCTGCTCCTGCAAGTCCAGTTGGGAGACTGAGATATGATACTTCATTATATTTCTCAATCATTTTGGGGTCCCAGGACCAAACAGACTACATCTACCATTAGACAAAAGGCAACAATATTGCTTGGGGCACTTTGTATGTAACATGTAGAAACATATTGTTCTTCTGTTTTTTTGGAAGGGGTTTTTTTGCATATTTTTTTGAGTCACAGAGGATTTCAGACCAGCTACAGTGCTAGGGAAGAGGTCTTCAGTTTAGTTTACCTGGGAATGGTGTTTTAACTGTGGCTTTTTCTTGTCATTGCCGAGAGGAAACCATAAGTGATGCAGCTGCCCTCTTTCCTTTGGGCCACCTCATTCGATTCTGCACAGCAATGTTCCATGCATCCTGCAGGGACAGCCACAGCTCGGGCTGAAGAATGAGCCAAAAGACCCAGTGGACATACACACACAAACCAGTTCCATTAGAATTGGGCGGTGGGGTAGATACTTGCAACATGTTCTCCAAGATGAGGAGTACTCTCAACTAAATCAGCATTAGGGTAAATGAATTCTGAAGACTTGTATGTTATTCCCAGGGATGCAATCAGGACTATAAGATTCAGTGCTCCTGCCCCTGTTGCCATGCTTGATCCTAAAATGTTACTGAATTTCTTTCTGCTTTTTATTCCCTGTGATGACCCTGCTGTATCTTGGAGGCAGCTCTAGGGAAGAGTAGTGGCAGGTGAGCTAGTCATTTTTCTCCATGCCTCTTACATTCCTAATGGCTCTGTTTTTCTTTCAATCCTCCCCACTGGTAGATACACATTTGGGAAGCCTGTTCCTGGCTTCGTGAGCTTCCGTGTCTGCCGAAAGTTTGAACACGCAGCCACTGCCTGCTATGGCGAAGAGGCTAGAGCAGTGTGTGATGAGTTCTCTGGACAGGTGGGTCACAATTACTCTTGTGGGTAGAGTGATAGGAAAAAGTGTGGTTTATTGAGCATGCCCTGTAGGCACAGGTTTGGCCTGTGTATGTACGAGCATAGTGTGAAGAAGGGAGAGGCTCAATGTATTTTAAGGAAGCCTGAAGAAGGAGAGAAGATTGGGTGCAAGATGAAATGTGAAAGGTAAAAATAGGGGGAAAGTCTGTGCAGTAGGAAAGATGTGTGTAAAGTCAAGAAGCTGATGGAGAAGGAAGAGATGGAAGAAACAGAAAGAGGTCAGATGGAGTGTAGAGAGTATAAGAGAGAAGTAAGATAGAAAAGGCATGAGTCATGAGGGAAGAGTTGGGGTTGGCTTACACTAGAGACAGTGTGTGGGATCAGAAGTTAGTGTCAGAATCAGGAAAGGAGCAGAAACCAGGGGAGGGGTGATGCAGTTTGAGCAAGAAGGAAAGGAATATGGGTTTAGTGGCAGTGGTTAAGACAGACAGAAGAAAAAAAAAAATCACTTTTTTCACTCTTCAGACTGACAAGTCTACAAGAGCAAAACTGAATGATGTTTGGACCATGGACAGGTGCAACAGGGCTAGCTTAATTGACAGGAGCTGGAGTAATAGCAATTGTGGAAATATGCCAGGACAAGAAAGCAAGCAGAAGACATTTGTATGGTCCTTGGGGTCTGCTACAGTATGATCCCCACAATTGCCTCTGCCACTGCTGTTCTTATCCATGTTAAAAGAAAATATGAACACTGCAGTGCTAACCTCTGTTCCAGGCATCTCCTCCCTTTTCTGTGGAGACCTGCCTTGTACATGAAGATGCTGAAGTGAAGTGGCAAGCTTTGGAAATACTTTTCCAGCTGTCATCTTCTTTCTACACATACCTAGGCTTTGGTTTATGTATCACTGTGCATTTCAAGTCAGCAGCTATATTCTAACGTGCCTGATGCCAGGCAAACATTTCCTGTGTGGCATACGCTTGAATAATTCCCTATGGTTCTGTATCAAGTGCTTGCAATTTCAAACTTCACACACACATACACAAAACTCTTCTAGGTTGCAAACTCTTTGCTCTGATGTTGCTGCAAGTACTTCAAAATGCTCCTTGCCAAGTTACTTATGTGCTTTTCCAGTTTTGATAAAAACAACAGAGAGAATGATCTGTGAGGTTATGGGCTTCTCTTCCAGTTCAGAGCAACGCACAGTGATGGATTCATTAAGTTGAATAAGCATTATATAAATGAGACTATAAAGGTCTTGTTTGTTTTCCTCCAACAGACAGACAACTATGGCTGCATTTCTGAAACGGTAAAGACCAAGTTATTCCAGCTCAAGAGAAGTGGGTATGAGAATAAGCTCCATGTGGAGGCTAAGATTAAAGAGGAGGAGACAGGTATGAACCATCTGGATCAAAGAGCCATGTAATAAGCTCAGGAGAGACCAGCAGAGTGGCCTGCCAAGTAGGAATGAGGGAGAAAAGCAGACTCTTGCTTTTCTGAAATCCTAAAGTTTTCCTACCTGGAGGCCAGGAGCATCAACAAAATTGCTTGTCCAGCAAAGGAGGGTTGGCCTGGGGTAAAAGTAATTCTAGTCAGGTAGAAGCAAATTAATTCTTCATGTTTCTTCTTGCAGGAGTGGAGTTGACTGGAACAAGCTTCTCTGAGATCACAACCACCATTAGCAAAATCACCTTCGAGCATTCAGACTCTCACTACAAACCCGGAATCCCCTACTTTGGGCAGGTAGGGAAATCATGAGAATGGAATGCCATGAGTGCCAAATAATCATGCTACTGAACCTCCTGGACAGATACATGTCCCCCCTCTGCAAAGATGCTGGACCTCAGTGCTGCTAATCCCTGTGGGCCTCCTCTCCTCTGCAGGCTCTCAAACTGGGGAACAGCAGCCGAGAGCACAGCCCTCATTCTGCTTACCCCTCTGTCCTTGTGGTTCTGCTTCTCTGGTCAAGTAAAATTCTGCTTTTCCAGTCACCTGTTTAAAAGGAGGCCTAAGGGGTGTGAGTGCATGTCAATCTCCACGAGCACACCTCTGACCCAGAGGTGGAGATAAGAAAGGGCCAAAGAAATAAGATTCAGAAAGTTTGCAGCTCTCTCTGAAAGAGATAGGTGATGCACATGTAAAGAGCAGTGGAGGCTTCCTTGTCTGACATGAGCCCAACATCCTTAGCTTGGTGGTCTATCAGTCTGTTCAGGTGACAGGCATTCCTCTCCTTCTATACTATACTGGTTTTGCTCCTCCAGGTGAAGCTAGTGGATGGGTCTGGTGCTCCAATCGCCAATGAAGTTGTGAAGATTTCTTTACAAGGAGGTCAGGAAACCAACTATACAACAAATGAAGAGGGCAGGGCACAGTTTGTCATGAACACTTCCAAGTTGAACTTCGATTCTGTTGGAATTAGGGTGAGTGCTGCGGGCAGAGGAGGTGATGAAGTGACCTACAGGGCTGGAAGGGGAGTACCTCTGAAGTTTCTACTATATATGCAGAAGCACTTAGCTTCTTGTTCCTGGTTGGTTGTGCCAACCTTGACACCAGCGTGGTGGAAATAATCGTACAACAAACCAGGTTGCCAAGTCACAATTGTACTTAGCTTCTAAGTATTTGATTCCTGCTTGGCAATAGCAATATAGGGTTAGAAGGAACATCAAGAGATCATATTAGTCCATTCTGCTCCAAGGGATCACCAGCCCTACCTAGACAAATCTGTTTCAAGGGTAAGTCTAACTCCCATGGTGGAGTGCTGCTTGTGCTTCGCTGTCTTTTCAATTAAATGATTTCCCAAGTATCTCATCTGAATATCCTTTGTGGTCGGTTAAGGCAATCTGCATTTCTCAGGGTTTAATTTAGCATTCCAAGTTTCTAAGCGGTTCTCCTTTTTTTTTTTTTCTTTTTTTTTCTTTTTCCTGCCATAAAGAAAAAAAGAGTATGAACCATTCACAGAAATTCTCCCCCTGGTGTGGAATTTATTTATCTGGGAAAAATAAGTGCTGCTGAGCATCCTTTTGTTAGTGGAAAATGCAATATGTGTGTAATATGCACATTTCATAATATTTCACCCTGGAATAGGGCAGATTGTCTAGAATTGTATTTGCTCTTCTCCCTACAATTCTCTTGTCACAGATTAAAACCATTAAAAATTATCCAGAACTTACCACTTAGTGCTTGAAGTTTTCAGAATTTTGCAGGGTAAAGAAAAGGCAAGAGTTCTCAAGCATAGTGAGAAAGATAAGGAAATAAGGGCACATGAGGCACATGAAATGCTGGAGTAGCACCCTTCTAAATGTGAAATATCTTCCCCTTGCTCTCATTTTTAAGAAGATCTGGACTCTCCTAGGTCCTAAACTTCTATTCAATTTAGGTTTTGAATTCTTAGGTGGAGACTTTTCCTCCTTTTCTATAGCATCCTTAGCTTGATCTTGGCACTGGTAATCTCTGAACTGAACAGCACTATCCCTTCTCCAGTGCCAGTAATGAGAATAAAAATGAAAATCAGCTTCTTTTCTCTTTAAAATAACAGGATATTAGAGGGGGCAAGGTATTAGGGTAAAGAGCCCTTGAGGTGATACTGATAGTAAACAAACAACTGATATGATTCAGCTTGTTTGAGACAAACTCCAGATTCTCTGGGAGTGAGATCATTCCCAAGGATTTGCTAAAGGTACCACCACCCTGTCTTGCATCTTCCAAACTCACGGGGCTTTTTGTAGGTTACCTTGTTGCTTAAATACAAAAAATACAAAACCTTTAATGTTAGGCCATGAATTTTGGCTCCAGTTCATCCACCCGTGTTTGAGGATCTATGTGTGTATTTTCTCCTTTTCCAGGCAACTCATAAAGTACACCCCTACTGCTATGACCGTTCCTGGGTTGTTCCATATTATGAAGAAGGCTATCTCCAACTAAAGCGCTTTTACTCTCCTAGTAATAGCTTCCTCAAAATTGAGCCCCAGTCCAAGACACTAAGCTGTGGCTTCTCCACAGAGGTCCGGGTGCACTATATCCTTACTCCAGCAGCCGTAGGAGAGCAGAAGAAAATCGTCTTTTACTACCTGGTAAGCTTGCAACTGCCATACGGTGAGGTTGTCACTGGTAATTGTAGGGGGGCTGGAGATGGAAATTGTGGTTTGTGGCAGCAGGCTTTAAACGCTTTCCCATCATCCTTCATATGTTCTTTTCCCACAAAAAGGAGGGGCTGGGTTAAGAGCAGAAGAATAAGGATGCCCCAGTGCCCCCTGGGTGAGCACTGGGATTCTGCCTCAGGGAGGCAGAGAACAGCTGAGCAGGGTGTGAGCAGCAGACATACAGCTCAGTTGCTCTCCTCTCAGGTTCCCCCTCTTTGAGGTTTGGCTCATGTATAACCTCAGTCACAGCAGGGTTTCTCCTTCCATTCAGGTGATGGCCAAGGGAATCATTAAGAAAGCGGGCACCCACATTCTGGATTTGCAGCAGGAAAGTGGTGAGTTCCTCTCCCCTGCCAAATTGTCGCTGTCCTGGGAGGTTAGGCAACTGTGGCAGACATACAGGCTGCTTCCATATAAATGCAGGGATCCACATCTACAGGTCCCCTAAGATATGGGAAGAGTTTGAGCTTGCTTTGCTTTTATTTAGGCTTTGCACAGATTTGATCTAATCCCCTGTGCCAGCTGTCTTTCTTCTGCCACTGCACTTCTGGGGCTCCAGTGCTCCTAGGAGACACAGACTGATGGTCTGTTTTTAGAAGCTGAACCAAAATTCAGCACGCTTATGCACTGGAAAACAGGACTTGAAACAGGCTTTTTCAGTCAGACAGTGAGATTTATACACCTCTGTGAGCACTAATTCATCCCACTTGGAGCCCTGGAGTTTCATCATGGCTAGGATGAAGTTCAGAATGAAGTCAAACCTAAGAATTTTGGCTGCTCCAAGAGCAGGTTTCCTGTACCTTAACTTTTTGCTCTTGTTTTGTTTGCTAGACAATGGGGTCTTCTCGCTACAGCTGCCTGTAGAAGCTGATATTGCTCCAGTGGCCCAACTGCTTGTCTATACCACTGCCCCCAGCAGTGAGGTAATTGCTGATTCAACCAAGTTCAACGTAGAAAAGTGTTTCAGCAATAAGGTAAGTGTCCACTTCTTGAGGGAGCAGCCATCAGACTGCAGCATGGTCAAGCTCATTTATTTAGATTTATCCTGGCTAAGCTCATTTCTTTAGATTTACTAACAATGGACAAGCCACTTATAAATTGTTCTAGGTAGCTTCACTGCTTACTGGTTTGTGCTAGCTTGGAGGAGATCAGCTGCTGGGAAAAAGGTGCCAGCAGGGACTACACTCATAAAAACCCTCTTAGCAACTAGTCGCAGCCATTGATCTCACAGACGGTCCTGGGTAAGAAAAGGGGGGCCGCATGTCTTATGTCATACTGCAACACATGCATTTTACTCCCTTTTCACACAAACTCATTCCAGCAATGAGGTGGCTGCTTGTGGGGTCACAGAGCAAAAATAAAACACACGCAGCCCCAGTGCAGTGGGGGAAGCTAATACTTGTCAGATCTTTCAGCTCCTGTACATCTCATCCTGTCATTTTAATTTCTATTGTGTGTAAATGGAGATAAACCTTGCCTGAACCTGCTGCGCAATGCACAGTGGTGCTTCAATAGCAATGATGAGACTGAAAGAGTGCAGAAAAATAAAGCCTTTCTGTGAGCAGGTGGACCATTGTTCTCTTATAGCCCCACAAATTCCTTTTTCAGAAGAGAATACTGATGTATGAGCAGCCTTAAGAAGAGAACAACCTCAAAAATTCCCATCGGGACTTCAGAATAGTAGACAGGACACTGCTAAAGACAGTCGCTTGTCCTGCTAAAACCCAAGCTAAATGAATTCTTGAGACTGGTGTCACTGTAGGAACTTGGTCACCTGAATTTTGTTCATATATTAAAGGTCATACTGTGCACTGCATTAAGGTCTGAGTGCAAGCCAAGTGCCAAGTGGTTTACGTGCTCGGATACTGCTTTCCTCTCTGAAAGCATCTTGAAGTTAAAGCTGTTGTCAGACCAGATAGGACAGACTTTCGGCTATCTCTATGCTAGACAGTTTTACTAGAAGCAAGCTTGCTACAGCCCTTGTTGTGCCATTTCCTGAAGAACATTTTTTTTTGCACTCTCGAGATTAATAAGTCCACACTGGGAGAGGTGGGGGGTGCCAGCAGAAGGCATGCTGGGGTCTGGGTGGGACATGAGGGAGGCTTGCAGCTGATGCTGCTTTGTCAGGCAACTTGTTTACTCTGAGGGTGCTTTGATCATTGCATGTGAGGGGAGAGTTTGTACTTCTGAGGAGAGGGAAGATTTATGCAGGTCAGCCATCTTATTACAAAAATCGCGTGAGATGGTGATGGTAACAACTTCTGCTAGCAAGGACTTCCAGGACAGAGCTTGGTAGGGGCTTGTTAGAGTTGTGAGTTAGGTTTTGGGGAAGGCACATGAATGTCGCAGGTCAGCTCTTCAGAATCATTACCAGCCAGTAGATATTGCAATATTGCTCCAGGGCATCACTGCTTCTCATGTTACCAAAGAATCTGCTAAGCAAGGTCTTTGCAAGCCTGTTTTCTCTCCACATACAATATCTGGGTGCGGTACAGAGACTGGGCCTGGTTCAAGACCATGCCCAGCTGCCTGAACAGATCTAGCTGCTATGTGGGATTATCTCATCATATTCACAGTGGCCATAAAACATCAAACTGCCTTAAAATTTTTATGAGCAATTGCAATGCTTGAAGTTGCCAAGAACTGTTAGTGCTGATTCCTCTGGCGCTGTAGCAAGGAAATCCAGCTCTGCAGTAGCACAGAGGGAGTGTGTGTGTCTGTGTGCATGCCTGTGCGGGCTTCGTAAGGTTGGAACCGATGCACTCAACTGGAGGGAAAAGTCCGGCAAGGGTAGGGCATCTGTGACGCAGCTTTTCCTGTGGCTACAGGTGGACTTGAGCTTCTCTCCTTCTGAAGGCCTGCCTTCCTCTGATGCTCACTTGCTGTTCAGAGCCTCCCCGAACTCCCTCTGCGCCGTCCGGGCTGTGGACAAGAGCGTTCTCCTCATGAAGCCAGAAGCTGACCTGTCACCCAGCTCTGTAAGTGCTGAGTCTGTGCAGCAAGTCAGAGCAAGTACAGCCCAGTGCTGGAGGGGGAACAGTGAACAGCCCCTCTTGTCAGGAAGGCTGCCCTGTTCTGTTTCTCGTCTTCGTCCAGTGGGCAAAAAGAGGAGAACTGGGCAGCAGCTGTTTCTTAGGGGGTTTGTGTGATTGTAGAGATGGCACTCAGGAAGCTCTTTTAAGGGGACTGCTTCTCTTGGCCAGCGCCAAACACTGTTGTTTGATGATCATTTTTCAGTTATTGTCTCCAGCCATGGATTAATTTTCTTGGAGTAGTGTCTGGAAGTGTCAGAGTTTATTCCCCTCACGCCAAGCAGCAAACAACAATCCCTGAGTAGGTACAAAGTACCACATACGGGGTGGCCAGTGTCATTTTTTATATATGTGAGCCATAATAACCAGAGTAACATGCTGTCCATAACAAAAGAGGCAGTATCTCCAAATTTGGATCTCTTTTTTGACTCCCAAATTCCCATTGCTCCCACCACAGGGAGGACCATGGCAATGTGGATGTATGTGCAGGTGATGGGACTGTTTTGGTGCTTGCATCCAACTCCCTCAGTTGTGTTTTGTGACAGTGGACACTGAAAATGCCAAATACCCTGGCTTTTTCTGCCTAGGTGTATAGCTTGCTGCCAGTGAAGGAACTGCATGACTATCACCATGGTCCAGACATGCTCTTGGAGGAGCCCCTGGAGAATTGTGTCCCCTTGGAGAAGATAGTTCTGAATGGGATCACCTATTCTCCAGTAGTGATGACGAATGAAGAGGACACTTACAGCATTCTAAAGGTATAGCTCTCTTGCATGGTTAGGGAGTGGAGTGGGAGAAGGACTGAGAATGCTTAAGCCTTCTGTGGCACGATGCAACGTAACAAGGGAAGGGTTTGCGAATCTGAATGATCTGACCACTAATTTTTATCTAGAGGCGAGTTCAGTGAGAGTCATAAACTTCACCTGTCTTGCCAGCTTTGCTCTCCACTTGGTGGAAAAGGGATCAGTCTCAAAGATTTCTTCTTACAGGAAAAGCTTTGAGGTTGACTTGAAATAAGGTTCTAATGGGAGGTAAATAATCCCATGCCATTACAGTTACCCCACATAAATCAATACGTCCTTGAGCTGCATTGTAGCTACAGACATTTCCTTCCAGAAAGAAAATTCTGTATCTACTCCCTGGCTCATCCTGACCCCTAGGCTGGAACTGGACTGGAACCAGTGCCCTAGAAACAGAGGGGATCTATCCTTTGGTCTTTCTGAGCCACCCAGGCACCCAGACCCAAGGCTGGGGGGATCATCTCAAGGTCCAATCCACAGACAGTAACAGCTTCTCCTTTTGAGGCAGTAAAATACCAATGTCAGGTCTGCTGTGTAAACCTCAACAGGAGTCAGTATCAAAAACCAACGTTGGGTTTCTCTCCCATAGGAAATGGGTTTAAAGGTTTTCACAAATACCAAGGTGAGGAAACCTTGGTATTGCAGCACTGACAATTACATGCCTGCAGGAGTCCGCATTGCATCATCTTCAGTCATGTCTGGAGCACCTATACAGGCAATGAGGACAAACGGTAAAGGAACTGGGTTTTGTTATCACCTCTGTTCTGAACAGAGATCCTGTCTGTATTTTGGGGTGAATATGTAAAAAAGAGCTGGGGTTGTGAATTGAACTCTTGGAAGTAGTACTGAATTGGTGGGTTTGCAGATTTCAGCTTCTGCATCAGTGTGGGGCTTATCTCTTTTGCTGGGTTGTGAAGGTCTACAGAAGCTTTGATAACCCCACATTAGAAGTCAGCAGAACCAGGTAGTTTTCAAAGACTCTGGCAGAGCAGAGGATATTATTCTGCTGCTGAATTCTCTGCTCACTAGGCTTTTACGGTAGACTTCTTTTCCCAGGTATCACTTAAGTTGTCTCCGATACCATTTTCAATCTGTCCTCATTGACTCATCCAGTTTTATGTATGGTCAAAACCGGATGAAGTGGATGACAAAATTTTCAGTGACAAGCTGGTAGACTTTGGGGGCTTAGAATGGTAACATGGGTGTGGTAGAAGTCCAGTCTGAAATGGACCCACCCTATTTCTAAGGGTATCTCAACTCTTACACTGTAGCTGTTTGGGCAGCAGAATTGGCCATATCATCCTCCAGAGTATCATATTAAGGGAAATATCCTAGAAAATCTAAGTTATTTTAGCTGGATAACTGATTCAGAGAGTTTTCCCTTGGCACAACAACCTGTGCTGTTGTACATGTCCAGTTTTAAGACAATTTCAACTTCTGACACAAGTTGCTAAGATGCAAGATATATGCTTTTTAATTATTTTAAACTGAAATAGACAGCAGTAAGAAGACTGAAATACCATGATAGAAAAATACAAGCAAGCCATCTGTCACTCTTGCTAGGAGCTATGTGATACAGCTCTAATAGCATCTTTCACTTGTGCTCTGAGACCTTCTCAGACTCTGGAGGTGCCCATTGCACCGATAGTATGGATACTTGCTAGCTTCAAAATTGTTATTCAAATGTAGAAATTAATTTAGCCAAAGTAAAGATGACCAAACCTATAATTTAGTTAAGAACTTTTCTTCTTTATCTGTTTGGGTGTATTTCTCTTTCTGTTTGTAAAAGCCAGGCAAAGCAAGTCCCACCCACCCCATCTTTGTTTTCCAGTTGTTCAAAACCGAAGTAAAACAAAGGCTTATTTTTTACCAAATTTCATCCCAAACTCAGAATATTTTCTTGGGAATAATTTTTGCATGTGAAAATTTTGGTTTAGTCAAAAAGTCTTTTTTTGCCCCTCCCAAATTCCAGCTGCGTGATTTTACTTTGAGCATCTTCAGCCTAGTTCTTGAGGAGGCCATAGATTTGGCAGGGAGGTGGTTTTCTCAGTCACAATGACCCTACAAACACACTGCACCAGAGGGATGTTCCATTGCTAGCTGGCTTGATAGGATGGAGAGGGATGTCATGTTAAGACTGTACCTGAACGGGAAAAGGCTGCTGGCACAGAAGGTCATAAATAGCTCTTTGCTCTAACATCCTTGTTTTAACCTTGTGAAGTGCTGCCCCACAAACTTTGAGGTTTACTGGAGACCAGTGAGAAATAATGGAAGGCTAGCTCTTCTTGCTAATAAGCCCTGACCCTGAAACTTCACTGCTGTTGGTACCAGTGCTCACTACAGGCACACCAAACATCTGCTGCCAGCACAGCTTCTGATTGCCACAGAGATTGCTGCTTTCTCAGACCGAAGCATGATGCTGATGTAGATCTTGCTTGTTTGGAATTATCAGTAGTTGATTTCTTTTTAATCTCATCACATTCAGGCATTCAGTCAGATAGACTTTATGCCACGTTACGCACTCCTGAAGAGGTGACGGAGACAGTCCGAAAGTATTTCCCAGAAACTTGGATTTGGAGTTTAGTATCTATAAGGTGAGGACCTTGGGCTAGTTCCTTCCTTTTTAATAAAACTGGTTTTATAAAGTGAAAATGTGAATACCCATGTTTGCCAAGCCTTTTCAGTGCCCCAAAGCCCTTCATTGTTTGCAGAGATCACTTGTCAATCCTTTGAGATGGAATTACCTTCAGCCGTGGTTAGGTTTGTCCAAGGAGTGGTTGTGGGTCTGCAAGAAGATGTAGTGTGGCCCTACAGTAACAAACATACTGTGACCCATCATGCACAGGGGCACGTTCAGTAGGCCAAAAGGGGTACAGATAGTCACCAAAATGCCATAAAATCATCTCTGTCCTTGTTCTCCATCCCTCGCCAGCTCTGAGGGAAATGCTGATCTAGACATGACCATCCCTGACACCATCACGGAATGGAAAGCCAATGCATTCTGCACTTCGGCAGACACGGGCTTTGGCCTGTCCCCAACAGTGTCCCTCAGAGCCTTCCAGCCCTTCTTTGTAGAGCTCACCATGCCCTACTCTGTAGTGCGTGGTGAGTCCTTCACGCTGAAAGCCACCGTTTTCAACTACCTGACCGCCTGTATCAGGGTAAGGAAGGTTCAAATCCTTCTCTGTACCTGTGTACCTTCTGTACCTTCTACACCTCTAGCCCTCACCTAGCCTTCTTATCTTATCTCTGAGTATCCCTAGACTCTTCACCCCTGAAATTCTTATGTTACTCCTCCTATATACTCCAAACACAGAACCCACAGCTCCCTGCTCCTTTGCTACTGAAGAAATAGATATTGCTATGGCTTCCTAGCTCCCTGTCTCTCACGAGTACCCTTCCCTGATTCTGCTTCTCTCTACAATTGGCAGGTCAGTGTGACTCTGGCTCAGTCTACTCATTTCCTGGCTACTCTGGTGGAAAAGGAGGAAGAATCTCACTGTCTCTGCGAGAATGGAAGGAAAACCGTGGCTTGGCTGGTGACTCCCAAATCTCTAGGTAAAGGCCTCAGGGTGCTGAAAACTGCAGGGAGGATTTTTCTGTGCTGTTGTCCCTGCTCAGTATGTGGTGTTAGAGCAACACAATTTCCTTGGAAGCACTGCAGCTGAGTGTCTGTCTCATCTGGTGTTATTTAGGAGGCAAAGGCTGGTGGGCTCAAGTGTCCGAGGCTGTGTCTGGCACCACATGCAGTACCATCAAGCCTTACAGCCCTTGGACAACACCTTCTGAAGCCACAGACATTGCTAGCTCTGTCAGCTCCATTCCTCCCAGAGCTTAGATGATTGTCCCATGGGATCATCATATTTTGTTTTCACTGTTGTTACGTGCTGTGGTCACAGCTGTGGTGTACATGCGGGGTAGCAGTGTGCTGAACAGCAGTGGGGCTGGTGAGTCCCACCACTGTGGTGTTCTAGGTTCTGGAAAAGAGTAACCAAAATAGAGTCACCTTTCAATGGCAGTGCAGGTCATCTGCTCCAGGATGGCTACTGATAGAGATAGCTATGTTCTTCTGGGAAAGAAGCAGGGCCCAGGTGTGATAGAAAATCCCCATCCATGAGCCTGCAAATTGAAACTCCTGGAAGTGGCAGTGACTCCCATTGCCCCGGCTCTGCCCGGCAGGGCTGGCTGACTCCTGTTTCCTCCAGGGCAGGTGGAGTTCTCAGTGAGCACCGAGGCCCTGCAGAACCAGCAGCCCTGCGGGAACGCCATCGTGGAGACCCCTGAGAAAGGGCGGAAAGACACGGTCATCAGACAGCTGCTGGTGGAGGTATGTGGGCTGTGGGAAAGGAGGACTGAACTTTCCCACAGGCTAGAGTGTATGCTATGATGCAATTGACAGCATGCTAGATAATCTCATCTAGGCTCCCTTTCCCATGAAAGGTTGGATCAGATGATGTTTCGAGGTCCCTTCTATACCTGGGCTGGTCTGTGATCCTATGATTCTATGAGATCACTACGCAGCATGGCACTATGATGGCCTTACATCATCTTTATACTTTGGCAGGGCTGCATAAAGACGGCAGCTTAATAATGCTATGCAATGTGTCTCCCAGTACTCTAATCTTTCCCTGTCCCTTACTGTAGCAGGACTCCTACTCCAATCCATCCTTCTCTATCTCCTACCTGTCACCTCCTATTTCAATACACCCTCTTTACAGCCTCTCTCCTCCATTTGAGACACCCCTAGTAAGTTTGCCAGTCAGCACATGCTGCCTCGCTGCTAGTTGAGTGGCCAAGCAAACTGACTCTTAAGCTGAGTGTTATGCAGTTCTGGTTTGCTACCATAGTCTGGCACTGGGATGAAGGTGGGAAATTCACAAGCACCTACAGGAATTTGATGCCTGTAGAGAAGTCCCCTCAAAATATTATAAAGTTCCCCTCCAGATATTATAAAAGTCCATGAAAACATGTTAAAATTTTACAGCTTATCCATTTTCTGTGGCAAGAAGAGTCGCTGATGCGATGTGGTACAGAAGGAAATACTGTGTGGCAGTACTGCATACCCTTTATAGGAAAATGCTATTATACTGGATGTGGTAATCTGGCAGGTAGATTCTATGCTCTTAGCTTTTCTCTGTATCATAAAACCCCCTAATGTTTGCCTACAATGTTGTATGGTATCAGTAATGTCACTAGCTATTACAGTGTACACCATCTTCCCTTTCTATTATTGACAATTTTTCTCCCCTAAATCATCTGCAGCATTATGATAAATAGCACTGCAGGCATCTCTTCAGGACAGCCCTCTAGAGCTACTGTGAGCTTTTGCTAACAAAAGCTCTTGCTGTAATGCTGCAGTCCTTTTGTTGCAAGGATGTTAAGTGTCTCTCGCTGCATACAATAGTTGCAGGTCATCCATGTGATAGTAGTGCAGTGTTCTCCTCTCCTTTTCCAGTCCTTCCTCCAGGTACAACACCTGTCATTTAGGATCATATTTCCTGTACTTGCTTAAATTATTATTTCAGAGCTCTGTATTTCAGGGGGATTTTGTAACTGCCTCTCCTTCTTCAGTTCACTCACTTTTCTTTTCACATACCCCTCTGTCCTTGTTAAGGATTCCTCTGTCTGTATTTCCTGTCTCACTAACTTCTCACCTCTCTTGTGTTCCTCCATCCCACCCAAGCCTGAAGGAGTTGAGAAGGAAACAGCCCAGAACTCTGTGCTCTGTGTAAAAGGTAAAACCTACTCTCTCCACCCTCTCCCTTTGTTCCTGTGTGGTTTGATGGGTGGGACGTGCCTGGAGGAAGATAGTGCTGCCTCTGTTATAGTCCAGGTAGGCTGATATTTTTAGGTAATCAAAACATGCTCCATGAGTTGGGAGCTTGAGATATAAGACAGAAGAAAGACCTAGAGAATGGACCATCCTGCCCAAGCATCAGGGTATGAGCTCCGACAGATTTAGCATGACTGTTTGCATCCCTGTTCTCCTGTGTGCTGACATTGGAGTTACAGTGCTGTCTCCTGTTTTCTAGCGGGCCCAGGAAAAAGCTGTAGAGACACAGTCTAAAGTGTCTAACAGTGGCTGGGGGTGCTTTCATGCAGAGATGGCCTTATAGTGAGGGAAAAACGAAGTGACTGAAGTCCGGGTATTTCTAATAGGAAGTGTTACTGTCATTTCACTGAGGCCCCCTCCCCTTCCATTAGCATTTCTTGGGACTGCACTGAAGCTGTTTGGGTCTTGTTTCTCTCTCAGGAGTGTCTGCGGAACAGAAGTTTTCCCTGTTGCTACCCTCAAATGTGGTACAAGACTCAGGAAGAGCATATTTCTCAGTGCTGGGTGAGTGAGCAGCCTGACAGAAGAACCATGTGCTGTTTCTGCCCCTCTGTGTTGGCCTCCTACCTCACATCTTTTCTCCTGGTTTTCAGCACACCTCATTCCTGTCTTTGATCCCTTCTGTCTCAAGCACTTTCCCTTCCAGTTGTGCTCTTCCTTTTCTCCTTTCTGCATGTCCTTTTGTTCGGAGTTCTCTGCTAGTGCCCTAAACTTTCTCTCATTTCTCTCTTTTCCTTTTCTCTGCTGTTCTGTGTTTCAGTCCAGGATCTTTATCAATCCAGATTTTCTTTTGTTCTTCTCTGTCATCTCCTGCTTCTTTTATTCAGTAGCTCCCTCTGATTCTGATAGGCAGCCCTGAGTATCGTTAATATCCCTCTGGTATCTCCTGCTCCCCAGGTGACATCATGGGCACTGCCATGCAGAACCTGCACCAGCTCCTGCAGATGCCATTCGGCTGTGGAGAGCAGAACATGGTCCTGTTTGCACCCAACATCTACGTCCTGGACTATCTGAACAAGACAGGGCAGCTGAGCGAGGAGGTCAAATCCAAGGCCATCGGATACTTAGTGAGCGGTGAGCTGGGACACGGCTTTTGCTTCTGCTTTGGCTTTTTCCAGATCCTGCCTGGGGTGGTTCTGTCAAATGTTGGCCAGGTGTGGAAAGAGAGCTTCTCTCATGCACAGATGGTCTCTGCTGTATGCCTGAGAAGGCCCTTTGCTGCTTTTTCCTTTATTATTTTCTGTTGCTTAAGCATTAGGGTACGTGATCATTGCACCCACTTTTCCCTGCTCCCTAACTGGGTTGCAATGCAGTGCAGAGCTGTCAGGTGACCTGCTACAGTGACTTGTCCATTGTCATTAATATGTCCTGCCTTCCTTCTGAAGAAAGGCAGATGTTGCTTCTCCTCATGCAGTACAAGCAGTGCATGGAGGTGGGGATGTACCAGTATTTCTTACTGGCCAGGAAAGGTCTGACCTACTCCTCTTTCCTTTGCCTTTGTTAATACAGCTGTTTTTCTCTTCCCCCATGCCTCAGCAGACAGACTTTCTCTGGCATTTGAATCTTGCTTTAACTCTCCATTGCAGGTTATCAGAGGCAGCTGAACTACAAGCACCCAGATGGCTCTTACAGTACCTTTGGACCACGTTATGGCCAACTGGGGAACACCTGGTGAGATTTCAATGTCACCTATGCCTCCCCATGTGCTCCTCTTTCTCACCTTCACATTTATAATAAATGCTGCATAACTAAATAGGAAATGCCGTTATAGACCAGCAGGCTTTCCAGAGCTGGTGTGGTCCCTGTGCTGCCTCCTACTTGATGAAATAGGCTGCATCAGCCAGTTATGTAGCTGAAGCACGTCCTCCCACCAGCAGCTCTGAGGACCATGACAGACAAGAAGGAGATGGAGATAAATTGGGAAAGAAGGGAGCAGGGATTTCGTATCCTGACTGAGGAAGGCTGAAGAGTTGCAGTGGCAGCTCTTCTAGACTAGCATCTGCTGAGAAGGCTGATAGGAAGTGGGTTTCCATGTAAGTGGAAAGGATGATAATCCAAGAGCAGTGCTGTATGGTTTTCTTTTCAAGAGTGTTTGTGTGTTACTAAGCAAAGATAGCCTGGAGGAGCAGGTGTATTGCCAGTGTGACTTACTGCAAAGTTTTGAGTTGCTCCAGTATACCGTTGCCATGCATTTTCAACTTTAGGTAAGGGTAAGAATGGATAATTTCATCACCTTCAGTTTGCTTTTAGTTTCTGAAACAGTATTTGGTTCTTGCCAGCATGTTGGCTTCTCGCTGCATGCCTGCTTCTTCTCCATAACTGCTTGTAACAACTCTAACAAAAACTCTTTTAACATGTTCTTCTTTACTTTAAAACACTGGGGACTTCTGGGAAATCCATGAGACATGGCTTTCTAGTGCAAGAGTCCTGCCAGCAGACCATGAGCTAGCAAGGATTTAATTATTCTTCCCTGTCATTTTGAGTATTACTGTTATGCAGTTGTTGAGCTAATTGGCATGCAATTCCCTACTTTTTCCAAACAGATTTTTTTTTAGATACAGATCAACGATCGCTGTCCTTCAAACTGTAGCCTCAACACAAAGGGATCACAGGGTTTTATGAGCCAAGAGAGGGACAAGAAATCAAGGTGGAAGGCAGTTTTTTGACAGATTTTTTGATGTGAGGATATAATATACATGTGGTCTGACTAATTGGCCCACAGTTCTCCAAACCTGCTTGCCTTTCTCCAGACAGATGATGTGCACATGGGCCCACTCACCTGATGGACAACAGGCCTGCTCAGGCCCTTTCACTGCTCTTTCTCCCTTTCAGGCTCACAGCCTTTGTCCTCAAGTCCTTTGCCCAGGCCCGACCTCACATCTTCATAGATGAGAGGCACATCCAGGATGCTTTGGTCTGGCTGTCATACAAACAGAAGGAGAACGGCTGTTTCCGCAGTTCTGGGACACTCCTGAACAATGCTATGAAGGTAACATGTCTGCCTGGTTGGTTTTTTTGTGGGGCTAGAAGTTGACCATAAGTCAGATGGGTCCAGTTGAGCTTCCTGAGCATACAGGCAGATGGGAAATTCCCGTGTCAATGGCAAGCACTTTGGAGCTGGGCGCTATTCTCTATGATCACCACAGTAGGAAGGAGAATGAAGGCTAACCTGCACTTGATAAGTGGTATTGATACCTCCACATTAGCTGCAAGGGGGAGGAGGCAAGCTAAGGGTCTACAAGGCAGAATAAAGTATATCCACTAGAGTGGGAGAAAAGACTGAAGATGAGAAGCTAGGTGGGGTCAGCATCTACCTTTGTGTTTCCCTGCAGGGTGGAGTGGACAACGAGGTCTCGCTGACGGCGTACATCACTATTGCGTTGCTGGAGATTCCTCTGCCTGTAACTGTATGTGGCTCTACCCTAACTTGAGTCAGTTATGTTGTGTCAGTCTGTGATGACGCAGTACTGGCCAGAATTTGCTCCAGATTGGAAAAAGGACTTGGTTGTTGAGCCCTGTGATACAAGAATTATGTACTGTCAATTTTGGCATTTCTGCAACACGTACACTACTTGTTTCTACACCTCATTCTGGCAGACCCCTCCTCAGAGTTCAGTGGAATGATGTGCTATTAGTAAAGCAAAAACCTAATTTCTCCCAGCCTTTTAATCACTATTTATCTCTCCCCAGCACTCGGTGGTCCGTAATGCTCTGTTCTGCCTGGAAACAGCAGCAGATGAGAAAGAAAACCACGTGTACACCAAGGCACTGATGGCGTACGCCTTCGCCCTGGCAGGGAAGGAGGAGAAACGGAAGGCATTGCTTAGCTCACTTGAAAAGGAAGCTGTGAAAAAGGGTGAGTGCTCCTGCTGGGACATCTCTTTCTTCCAACCCACTGGCCTTGCATCTTCCCTTGGTAAAATGGTTTCTGTTGGTGCAGCAATGGCTGCAGGAACTGGCTTCTGTGGGTGGGGAAAGGTGCAGGGAGAGGAAAAACTTGTGCAAAGGGGTTGCATTTTTGAGAACTCCCTCACAGTGCCCGGTCCTACTTCTCTGCTCCAAGGGAGTTCATCCAGAAGCACCAGGCACCATCCCCATCGGTGCAGAACTAAAGGTAGCTCTGCTAGAGTCTCTCCGCAGTCCGCTCCTCTTGCCACACCAGGCACTGCTTAGCAAAGGCTTAGCAATGTTTACGGCTACCCCTTCCTTCCAGTGCACATGCTCAGCATAGAACAAAGTTGACCTTGCACAGCACAAGGCATGATAAATCAGAGAAAAGCTGGAGGTGCTGAGAGAGAAAGCGAACATACAGGTCATTTCAGAGACCCCAGCATTAAGCTCCGAGTCTTCCAGGAAATCACATAACGACTCGGAAGCATTCTGGCAGGGTCAGGCCGGACAGTGGGTTTGCCCAAACGTTGGGGAGTGGGGTTGTGAAGGAAGTACTCCCAGCACCTTTTGCCTTCTCCGCCTGCAGGAGACTGTCAAGCCTGATCACATTCTTTGGGTCATTTTGCCTCAGAGCTTGTCACTGCCCGCCCCCGGCATCTCTACTCCACAAGGGGAGGAGTGTCATCCTTCTTGGGTCCCTGGTTCCTCGAGCTGCCCAAGCCCATAAATGTCTGTGTGAATCTGGAGTCTAGCACAAAGTGGTAGCCAGGGCTGAGGACTGAGCCTCAGCAGTCTCAGGCTAGATGTAAACCTGCAGCAAGTGTAAACCTAACCCTTGCCTCTTCATCCTGCATGACGGATGCATCCTGGAGGCTCTGTCCTCCCAGCTGGACCGGCAGCAGATCAAGAACTCCCTTGCAGTAACTACTAATAATTGCTTCTTGTCTTGTCTCCACGCTCTCCGCCTCCTGTGAAGATGGGTCTGTTCATTGGCAGCGACCTGGGAAAGAGCCAGAGGTTGATCTCCCGTACTATCGCTACCGAGCTCCCTCTGCTGAAGTGGAGATGACAGCCTACGTGCTCCTTGCTCACCTCACCACGCAGCCGGCACCTTCCCAGGAGGAGCTGTCATTCGCGTCTCTTATTGCAAAGTGGATCAGTGGTCAGCAGAACCCCAGTGGAGGCTTCTCCTCCACCCAGGTGAGCTGCTTCCCTCCTGTGACTTCACACATCAATGTCAGAGGATGGGAAGTGTCAGAGACCCAGGTGGGAGCACAGTAAGTTCTGCCAGGGCAGGGACTGTAGCCCTGCAGTATCTACCGCGGTTGCCAAGTTCCCAAGAGGCTAGAGGCTAGTATGGCAGGTAGTGCCTCTGGGAATGACCGATACTTTGATTAATGACCTGGTTTTCTTGACACAGTGGGGCAGAATGGTAGGGACACAAGGGTCGTGTGTCTGTGCCATTGGAGAGGGCTCCCACTGTTTTTGTGCGTATGAAGTTGCTGCCTCACCCAGTGGCGAGCGAGCGAAGGCTGCGCGGAGCTCCACGCCAGGGAGCTCAGGCAACATGCAGCTGCTGGGCAGAGGACACGGGAAGGGAACGGAAACACGCAAAAGCTGCTCTTTCCCTCTGTCCTTTCTACTTATAACTGGAGAAAGTGAAGAACGG